CAACTGATCATGATTTTGCTTTGATCACTGAATAGTTAGTCAAGTTTTACTCCTCCACATTAAATAGCTAAATAGGTTGTATGTAATTGCCTCGCAAAAGACCCATATGATCATTACAAAAAAGATTAATATTACTGTCACCAAACGCTGAAGGTTAAATTACAGTTCACAGCAATGCATCCGCATAAATGGTTTATATGATTTCCTAAAAATTTGTGCCTCATGAATGACGTTACGTATGTAAGGTAAAGTTACGTAATTAAAGTCACTGTGGGAAGGTTTAGTAAAAGAAACATGGTGACGACGTACCTGAAATTGACGCACAGTTCGCACAGTTCCGAACGCCGGTCTCCTTGAGAAAATCCTGTGTTTTGTTATCATTCTACCACCCCAACCTACCTCCTAACGACACCGCTTCCTTCTTTATTCTTTACTCCCATCAGCACATCGGTCATGTGATCACAGCCTTTCAAAATACGTTGGTTTCAACATTTTACTCGCCAGATTAATTGTGAAAATCTGTAAACATGATGGCATCACTAAAAGTGGGTCCAGTGGGGCAACAGTCACAAATGGTCAGAATACCAGACAGGGTGTCAACAAACTTGTGTGAGATTAGCTGACAGTTTACTTTAAGGTTAGTGAAGTGAGCATACCCAATTTGTTATTTGCAAGACAGAAAAATAAGTTTGCACAACTATCATGTCTGGTTTCCAACTGGTTACTAATGGTTACATAGTACAATTTGCTAGTTGGCATAGTCGTCTGACCGCTAGTGTATTTTACTCTGATGAAGCCATTCCTAACCATAACTCTAATGCCACGAAATGACACATGTCAAAACAGCCACCCCTATGACTTTCTATGTACAGCCCCACACTGGTGGTGGCTAGGCATGCACTGACGCTCATGGATGCACAACTTCACAACCCTTCATGTGACTGATCTATTTCCATCCCCACCGCCCTTAAAACACACTTTTTTCCCCCACTCACTCACTGTATGTACATTCTTGCTCCCAAAGCAGCTCTTCTTCCCTCCTCCCTTGGCAGCTCGACTTCTCACCTCACCTCTTTCTGTTGCTGTCTCTCGTATGTGTTGAAGAATGGATGAGGAAAGACTTGTTGAGGTCAACAAATATCCTGAGCTGTACAACCCTCAGTCAGTGGCGATCCTAGATTCTGGTGGGCCCACGCAAAGAAGCCAATCCAGGCCTTGACGGTTACCCCTAACCTCGTATGTGTCACAGTTACAGGTAGCTGACTGGCTGTCATGACTAACTGTAATCAGCTGTCATATGGTAGCCTGAAGGTGCCCTTCATGAGGTGTTTGAGGCAGTGGCGGTGCACTGTATAGCGCCATGATGGGAGCTTTAAGGGGAGTTAGAGTTGTCACTGAAAAATGTGCAAATAATAGTTGCCATTATGGTCCTTTTTGCCAAATTTTTCGGGGGGCCCCCAAACATTTGCCTGGTTTGCCTCTTCTGACGGTTCGTCCCTGCCCTAAATCCCGTCAAGGAGCACATTCTCAGTCTGATCTTGTCACATATTGACGTTTTGATTATGGACTTTCCGCATCCACATACGATGTGCAAGGTACCCTGTGTGCGTTGGTTGTTGACGATCTCGGACACCGTGTCAAGTTCTGCCTGTTACATGCATTGTCTTCTTTCAAGATAAACTTCTGCTTTCACAGGAATTTTATGTCGGTACAACACTACAAATTGACATTTTTCATCAAAGCACATGGTTAGGTTTCAGCAAAAAGAACAGGGTTTGGCTTTAAAGTTTTGCTCTCTGCTCTGGTGAAAGTCAGTGTTTGCTGGATCCATCCACCACCCCAACTGCCTGCCCCACTCAGACTTTCGCCACCTTAACTTTCATCCTTGTCCTGCCATGTTTGCCCCTGATGCTGCTGGGCAACTGGCTGCGTATCATGCTGATGTTAAAGAATGCCTTTTTTCGTTGGTTTCGGACGCCACAAGTCACTGCCCAAGTGCCGGATTTCGATGACAAGTGAGAACGGGCTCTATAAAGACAACGGCAAAAAAGATATTGCCTGGTGAGGGATGTCATTGCCTTCCAACATCTCATAAATGACGCTACATTCACACAATGTCAGAATAATGGGAGGAACAGGGCAATCCTGTTATTGAGACTTATGAGTGTTCACATATTTATCTATCTATCTCTACTTATCTTATTTAAATGTAACCACCAGCGTAAGAGGCTTTGCAGCCATTTTGCAAACAGTTTGTTGACCGTTACATAGTTCTTTTCACCAAATGGGATATCATTTCCAATTTGGAATTACAACTCAGAGGCGTCTGTTTTTTCAAACTTGGTTGCTTGTAAATAAGGTCTAAACCATTCCTGGCATGAACACGAGAGCAATAGTATTATGATGAATAAAACTGATTCTCAGATCCACAAAATAAAACCAAGTTCTAATAAAGTGGTATTTGTTTGGTAAGGTTAGGTCAAGTTCTCAAACAACTGGATTAAAATTCTTGAAAGGTCTTGGTCATGGTCAGAAGAAACCAGTTTTAGCTGTTAGTAAATGATGGGATGCAACTGTAGTCCCCGATGTGCAATTCCAACATTTTGTCATGCTAAAGCACTTGCCCAACCTCCTTACTTGGTGCTATAAGAACACCACGCTTCCACCATTCCTTAAGAGAGGGTAAAGTCATTATTCAAGTGACAATGAGAGGTTACTTGTCCTTTTTAGTTTTCAGGTGAGCGCCGACTTTTTCCTTTTTGACATCTCTTAGCTCATTACCAGCTTCATCTCGATGTGTGAAATGTAAAATGTAATCATTTCTTACTTCCACCTGTATTTAGTGACATTCTGAATCCCAAAGTTCACCCACTTATTTGCTGTCTCTTCGAAAGCACATCAGTTTGACTTTTCTGGAGCAACTACACTGCAGCTTATTTTATTTTACTTTTTATATAATTGATTACCGCAATCGCCTTACATGTTATGCCTTACTCATCCCTCTCTCTTTCCCATCTCCTCCTCCTCCTCCTCCTCCTCCTCCTCCTCCTCTCCTTCCTGACTGCAGAGAGAGGAGGGTTTGCATGTATTATGTCTTCTTTTGTTCTTTGCTGTCGGCTCATTGTCAAAAAAAGAGTAGAGAGGAAGAGGGCGGTTAGTGAGGGAGATGGAGGGAGAGGGGGGAGAGAGGGAGGTAAGGGGATGAGTGGGTCTTGATGTGACGTCCGTCCTGACTGTAGGTAGATATTGGAGGTTTCACCCACCTCTGCAGCCCCCCACCCTGACACCCCCACATTTCTCTTTGTGCATTCTTATCTTTATTTTCTCTCTCAAGCCAGGTGCTGCTTATCCAGCCTTCAGCACATCTTATCCCACCCCCCCACCCCTCCACTCCCATCCTGCTTTATCTCTCACACTGCCACCACAAACTCACACTTTGACATATGAACACTCACATTCCTTCAACCTGCTCCCCTGTCCCCCCCCCCCCCCCCCCCCCCCCCCCCCCCCCCCCCCCCCCCCCCCCCCGCTTCACCCCCTTCCACAACTCCGTCTTTCCTTCCCTCCGCGGGGCTGCTGGAGGCAGCTGGCGGGCCGTGACCTATCCTGTCCTGACACACAGACACGGCAAGCAGGCAGACAGGTAGGCACATAGACAGGCAGCTAGGAGCTCATCAACTCCAGATCTGTATCTTAACTCCAGTCTTAGAGGCTTAATCCGGCTGCTTTCTCCAGCGCAGCCAGCTACTGTAGCAGCCAAGAGCCGCAACAGACAAATCCATACAGCTTAAAACTCCCCAAAATCTTCAAAAAGTCAACTTTCTATGAAGCATATCAGGCACTTTAACATCCCGTGTGTATTTTCGGTGTTATTTTGCAGGTCGCGCAGTGCAAATTGACAAAAGACACATCATTCGCGCGAGCTGCATTGTTTTGAAAATCTCCGAAAATGCGACGCCCTTTTGTCGTCAGGCTTCCTATGTCCGGCTTCAACATAGGCAACGTTTCGGTGTTGCTATTTTGTACTGTGGCAGCAAATTCACTCCATATAATTCCCCTGGTAAATTTGCAGCTAACCTTTGAACTTTTTTTTTTGGAGTGTTGTAGCTGCTGGCTGAAACGGGAGGGAGGGAGGGTGGCTGAGCCGAGCTCTCCATCCTGATTTAGAATTAGATCTATTTCTGTTCACCCTCCAACCCCGCCGGGAAATATTTAAATCTGCCATGGAATGTGTGTATATGTGTGTGTGTGTGTGTGTGTGTGTGTGACACAGAGAGAGAAAAAAAGAGAGAGAGAAAGAAAGACAGCGAAAGAAGTAGAGATTTGAACATATAAATTGTTGGCTGGTTGTTTGAGAATTTGCATTTGGTACACGGCTTTGGCAGTGTCGTTTCCTGTTCGAAGGCATGCCAATTAAGTCACTGAAGTCAAATCAAACAGAATGAGGAAAGAGGAAGATAGAAAAAGAAATAGATGGACAGAAAAGGGGGAAAAAACCAAAGGGGCGAGTGTTTGCAGGCTCAATGTGAACTAGCGGGGAGTAAGACTCAAGCCGTGGTCAGTAATTCATAAGCAGAGCACGTACAGACTGAGCCAAGCTCACCCTCTGGCTACACACACACACACACACACACACACACACGAATCAACACACACGGATCAACACACACACACACACACACACACGCACACAATCAAACCCACGCGCAGACACACACACACACACACAATAACACCAGCAGTCTCGACAAGCGTGAGCCACATTTTCATCTCTATATCTAATCCTACAGCCATTCAAATGTCACCGCCAGCACCTTTGACCCCTGTTAACGCAAAACAACACACACATACACAGGAATTCACACACTCTCTACACCATCCTTACTGCCTTTACAATTAAAAATAAGACAGTATATTCACACTTTGAAGAGCATTAGAAACTACATCACAGTCTAAAACAGTGAAGAGTGTGTTAAGACAAGCAGGTGACACACACTCACCTCAGAGTGGAACGCGGCGCTCCGCTGCGCTGTGGTGTAGAAATGACTGGCTGCACCCCCGTCCTCACACAGACACATGCACACACGCGCGCGCTGACACTCGGAGGCGAGGTGTGTGTGAGGACAATGAGACCGGACTGGATGGAGCAAAAGCAGCGGTAGTAGGAGGAGGAGGAGGAGAACGAGGAGGAGGAGGAGGAGGAGGAGGAGAGGAGGAGGGAGATGTGTGGTTGAGCGGGAAGGTGAAGAGGAGAGAGAGGGAGAGACAGAGAGAGAGAGAGAGAGAGAGACCGGGTGAATAATGAAATACAGCAGAAAAGAAGTAGCTGAAAAAAAAAGGGACGTGAAAAGGGTCCCACTGAAGCGGAGTCCCTCTTGTTCCATTTGTGGTTTTGTGTGTGTGTCTTGAGTGTGTAAAATGTGTTAAGGTGACCGTGTGTGTGTATGTGTGTGTGTGTGTGTGTGTAAAGGCTATGGAGGGTCTCCTGTTCATCACTTGAGACTTGGCGCCCTGCCTCAGAGCAGAAAGTGCAGTGAGAGCAGCTTTACATCTCTTGTAAGTGTTGATGCGTGTGTCCTCCACTCCATCAGTTAGCCTGTAGCTCGCCAGCATTACAACACACCTCATGTCTTCTTGTCTCAGAAGCTCCTCAAGCCGCCTCTTCATCCTCTTCATCTCTCTCTTTCTCTCTCCTTCTTTCGCTCCCTCTTTCTCTCTCCAGGGAAATACCTCCGCCACTAATCTCTTCAAAGGTCTCTCAGCTACTCAGGCTACTCTTTCTCTGTTTCATCTCACTCAGCTTTGCACTGTAAAAAGTCCTGCAGTATCTATTCATTTTTGTCAAGAAGTCCTAAAAGCTGATCTCAGTAAAACACGTAAAAAAAATCTGCCAGTACTCTAAGGGTATTTTAACATTTTTCTAATAGAAAAGATCTTGTTTCAATAGTCCGTAACTTGAGGAGAAGGGAGAACCAGATCACTGCACAAGAAAAAGACCGAAACCAACAATAAGGCTGTCTAATAATCACGTTAAAGTATTTTGTGTGTATTTAAAGGCTGATTTATCTTCGTCCTCAGTGCCATAGCGTACATTTTTTCCTAAAAACTATTACCAATGAGATTTTTTTGAGTCAAACGCAAACAGACCTGTAAATCCTGTAAAAACTCACCAGCGCATCAAATGTGTATTACTCCGCAGCTGAAAATAGTCCCCAAGAAACCAAGAAATTACTCGATGTTTGAGTAACATTTGCTACACACTACAGTGCCCAGCTGCTTAGGGAAATCATTTAGTTAAATTTAAGCTATACATTTGTGAACATTTATGTCTTTGTCTTGGGCTTGGAGAGGCACAGACAGAGAAAAGAAGCTCATAAAAGACGCACTAACACATGGTTGGTTTTGGTCCTTTCATGGGATTTGTTGGCAATAAATACAAAATGAAGAATAATACCAGATTTATACTTTAAAGACACAAAAATGACTCGATAAGGAGTTCGGCTCACACCAGCATTCACACACATTTTCACGCACAAACTCACATATACACGATCACATGCACTCTGAGCTCCAGGTGTACGTGTGTGCGTGTAATTGTGTGTGTGTGTGTGTGTGTGTGTGTGTGTGTGTGTGTGTGAAGTGCCGTGCAGCCTCAATCCTCCGGCTCAGCCACAGAGAAGCCAATCTCCACATCCAATTATTTGCTTCTCAAAGGCAGACAGATGGAGAGAGGGGAAAAAACAGAGAGCGAGGTAGAGTGAGGCAGAGTTAGCGAGAGAAAGAGAGAGAGGCTCTTTGAGGGTCTGCATAGGGGGGAATTAATTAGAATGAAAAAGAAATGGAGAGAAGAGAAAGTCTCTCCTCTGCTGAAGTCCGGAGAATAGTTTCACAATTAGTCAAAATCCCAAACAGAGCCTGTGGACACAACTCAGCAGAGACAGAGACAGAGAGAGAAGGAGCTAGAAAGAGTACCAGAGAGAATGAGAGAGAGAAGGAGATCAAAAGCCAAATGAAAAAAGCCAAGAGGGACAGAGGAGCTGAAGTTGTCAGATAAATGATTGTCAAGAGCATGTTATATATGTATTTATGTGTATATGTTGTTTTGTTCTTTCTTTTTGTTTTGTGTCTCCGTACCCTCCTGAGGCAAGCGCTGGCCGTCCTGCCTTCTCCCTTTCGTTTATTCTTCTTTCGGTCTCCCTTCTCTTCTACTTTTTCTTCTCCGTCTTCTCCCTCCTTCTGCCCTCTGCTGTCCGGGATATTCCATCAAAGAAGAGTCGGGCTCAAGGTGGATGGAGGCATCGCTGGGCTCCAAACACTCTCCAGCTTTCGCTTTCTTCTCCTCTTCGACTCTTTTCTCCGTTTTCTCCTTTCTCTTCTACTTTCGTTGGCCAGAGCATTTTTCTTTCTTCCCGGCAGCGGTGACACACAGCGTAGGGGGGTTGAGGACAAGGAGGGGTGGAGAGAAAGACTGAGAGAGAGCACAAAAAAAAAAGGAGGGAAAAGAGCAAGCGTAGGTAGATGGAACGCAGAGCGGGGAATGACGGGAAGAGGCAGGTGGAATGGGTAGTGACACATCGCAGAGGTGTGTGTCTGCGTGTATGTGAGTGTGTCAGCACGGGGGCCGTCCTTCTAGCCGACACACCACCAACGAGGGAGAGGTGGAGGAGGAATAGATGGATGGATAGAGGGAGTGATACAGCAAACACCCGCCTCCTCCCTTACATACACACACATTTGCTTAGTTCATTATCATTCACTGGATTTCGCCATGACACGCATGGCTAACCTACTCACGGAGACGGAGCCGAACCCTGAACTGAATCCTAATGGAGGAGTGGGAGAGAGGATGAAGAGGAGGAGGAGGAGGAGGAGGAGGAGGAGGACGAGGAGGAGGGTGTATCAGGCGAGCAGGTGTCCCCTCTACGCCTATTGTTCCCTGTCAATGTATGTCTACGTGCATGTGAGTGTGTTCGGGTCCTTCCACTGTGTGTGCGTACACACAAATACAAGCACGTGAGCTTTTTCTTCTGGTAAAACAGCCGAAACAAGCACACGTGCATCTTTTTCAGATACAAGCTCCATTTCTATTTTGGGATTCAAACTGCCGTTAGCCAAAAATTTTCAACTTGAAAAAAGAAAGAATGGCAGGGATTCAGTGTTTCCCTTTGGAAGATGAGAAAGTGTCTGGAACAGAATTTAGTGAGACATTTGACAGACAGCTCAAATCTGTTTTTTCATCATTTCAGTATGAGTCAGATAGTTTTCTGAAATTAAAATGAGGCAAGTCAACATGTATCACAATCTTGTGAGATTAGATTGACGCTCAATTGTTCTGACCACCCTGGTTTTATTTCTTTGACACAAATTTCCAAAACACTGTAACAACAACATGAAGAAGAGGCCTAAAGAGAATACGCCAGTGCCTGAGTGGATAAACTACCTTGAGTTTCAAACTTAAAGGCATACATTGCCAATTTTCAACCAGCTTTGTATTACAACAACATGGGTAGTATGTGTAAATGAGCTGTGGTAAACTTCCCTCCGTGTTGCCAGCACCCAAATCTCCCAGATCATTTGCTATCGAAAACCTGCCAAATTTTTACTGGCTTTTGTACTTCCTAATATTTGTATGCCTGCCACCACCACGGACCCAAAGAGTATAGAAGAGAACTGAGTGAGAACTGCCCCTTTTTCTCTCTCAACAGACCAAACTCACATCAAACAGTAAAACTGAGGAGCACTGATAAAATATATGAACCAAGATTCTGTAACTGTCAACATGTTCTCACTCCCAACTTGTCATATATCACTGCTTGGTCAGTGGACTAGGTATCCTGGGTATGTCTGTTGTTGACGTTCTAGGACACCATGTCAGTTTACGCCTGTTACATGTATTGTGCCTTTTCAAAATACACCCCTGTTCTCATGGGAAATGTATGTTTTCTGCTTGTTAGAAGCATACCTTCTTTTTCATAATAAATTCAAAACACCTCGTTTAGTTCTATGTGCACAAAAACACGTAGTTAGGTTAAGATCATGATTTGGCTAAACAGTCATACGGTGATTACCGGGCTCCTGGGTGAAAGTCCGGTGTTTGTTGGACCCATTCACCACCTCTCCGGCCCACACTATAGGGACTTCCCAGCTTCTTAAATTTCACTGCTGTCTGGCAGCTTTTCAAACTGATGTCATCCAGCAGTGTTATTAACTGATGCTGCCCAGCGTATCATAGCGGAAGGATGCCTTTTTTTTTTCCCGGTGTCTGACCAAGTGGCGGTATTCGACAACTTAGGAATAAGAACCAGTTGGTCCTGCCTATTTCTCACCTAGAATGTTTTCAGAAACATATTTTAGTTTACTGTATCACTGTAAACAAGAGCATTTGTTAACAGGCAGCCAGTGGCTATATTGTTTTTGGAAGGTTGACTCACATTATGTCACCAACTAGTGGGAGTGTTTATCACGATGGTGCAGTACATTCTGGTAATTGTAGGTTTTCTAGTTATCTACTCAGTGTTTCCCACAGGATTTTGGGAAACTATGGGGGGGGGGGGAGAAAATTTTGAACATTGTAAATTGAAATGAATTTGTATACAAAATGTACAGAAAGGTAAAATAATCAAGTTTTGAAAAAGTATTGCAATTTAATTTTGTCTTTAATGTTATTATCTTATATTAACTTTGTAATATGATTATCTTATATAATGTTATTACTATCCTAAAACATTCTCCAGGTCCTCTGTAACTCTGCAGGACTTATTTCCACCCTGTCCAACAGCAGTACCGTGGCGAACGGTCCCTAACTGCGGAGAGAACAGAGCAGGCTTCCCCGGAGGTCCGCCGCTTTTCCCGGTCCCTCTTCTCCACACTTTGGGCTCTAGTTTCGCAGACCGGGCGAGGCGGGGGCGCAGCGCACCTGCGCTTCGCCAACTGGGTGTGGCCAGGGGGATTTTGCAAGTTTGGCACATCGTGCGCGCTGGCGCAGCTACTCGTCTGTCCCACCTCCGTCCCTCCTACCTGCGCAAGTTGGAAAGAGGGAGAAGAGAAGGCGTGGAGTGGGTTTTACACACATCACACCAATCAAATGAGCCCCTCTCCTCGCCCTTAAATGCGCCGTGCGAAGGCATAATGAGAGTTTACTCAATTTGCCATGGCAGAAGAGAGCAGCAGCATCAGATGGCCAAACTTCTCCCAGGAGGAAACTGATGTTTTGGTCCGGGAGGTCCAAGCTCGCAGTGTCCGAATATACAGAACTGCAAGCAGACCTCCACGGGCTGATGATGCAAAGGTAGCCTGGGAGGAGGTCACCACAATTGTAAATCAATGATGCGTTTCTCTCGTGCGCACGCGCTCTCTCTCTCTTTCTCTCTCGCAGTCTCACTCTGTTTCTTTTCTTTTGACTTTTCTAAGATGACAGATGCTGAATATATACTCCCTATCTGATGCTGTGGCTGTTTGTGGTTGGCTGAGAGGGATGTGAGCTCATTAGTTTGCAGCTGTGTTAATCAAATCAGGTTGGGTTTCCATTACGAGTGCCAAACGTGCCAAGCGGTGCCAATCCCCTTTGATCTGACATCAGATGTGACGGGACAGTTGATACAGAGATACATTTATGTGCTGATTGCAGATAGTTGCATTGAATAGTGGTTTTGTGGCTATTTATTGCATTGTTAATGTGCCTGATATTCTGGAAACCTGCCTGTGAGGTTTTGGTGACGTGTGCGCACTGTCCGCCCGTCAGCCAAACTTCGGCTTACACTGGCTGCGCTCCCCCTGTGCTGACAGTAGACCTGGTTTCAGATGGCGAGCTTTTAGCGCACCTGCGGCGAAGTCTTTTGGCACGAAACTGTCACTGCGCCAAGCTGGATCTGTCGACACCTCCCCCTGCTGCGCCGCCACAACCATCTCAACGCACCTCGGTCTGCCAAACTACCAAACTGAGCACGCCTCGGGTTGCGCTGCTCGAAACTAGCTCTGCGCGGGGTTCGCCACCCTGTGCTGCGCTGGGAAACTAGAGCCCTTTGACTTATTTCCACGCTGCCGACAGTGGGCCTTATATTCATTGTGCCGACAGTGGCTTGGAAAACCGCCCATAACTGTGTCACACGGGGAAGAGGGAAGGCGGCTGGAGTTCCTCCAACATTTGCGGCTCATTTTTTTTATGCCACATGTGCCCCTAAATATTTTTTACAGTTCGCACACATGTATTTTTAGTTGAGTGAAACGCTCGCACTGTCGAGCGCTGGATCTGACAGCCTGAGCACATCGGCACAAAATGCTGATATCGAGATCGAGATATTATTTATATCATGAGAAGTCAATACTTTCGGCAACCTAAATATTTTATTTAGAAACTATGGCGGGTCAAATTAAACTATGGCGAGCCGCCATAGTTTCGTTAATTAATGGGAAACACTGATCTACCTTTTCTCTGTTTTCTCTGATCGTGTGGCACCAGTTTCAAAAGTATTGTCATCTTTCTACTTAATACACATCCCAGTTTTGTAAAAAAATAAAAAATAAAAAATAAAAAATGGACATCTTTCCAGCTGTGAAATTTTGTCCCTTATGCAAAATATTTCCATAGCCCAAGGGGAGCATTAAGAAGTGTTACATAACTTGGGTTGTCTTCTTGCCTAGAGGAGGCAAAGGCTTTCATGATAGTTACTGTCATAATACAGTACTTGTGCACCTCAGTTACCATGGTTATGTTTCACTCACATCATTGCCCTTAAACTCTCCTTGACAGCAGTATTGTCAGTGTTAGCTAGCTTCTTTAAAATGGACAACAAAGAGAATACTAAAACAGAAAGAAAGCCAAACTGGACAGAAGTTGAGAATAATGTTGTTCTCAAATAATATGGAAAAGCAAAAACAAATTATCCAAAGTAAATTCATGTACTAATTCCAGCTATAACAAATATGCACAAGTAGAAGATGTGGTCAGAGGTAACTGAAAAAAATCAATGCGAGAAATCTGGCTGTGAAACAAACTGTAGATGAAGCAATGACGAACTACAGAAGAATGACTGTGAGAGCAAGACAGGAGATTGCCAAATCAAAGGGGTTGACAAAAACTTTTGAGTTTGAATAAAATCATATAGCTAACATCAGTGATGGGAATAATATATAAACAGCGTTACTAACAGCGCTACTTTTTTCAGTAACGAGTAATCAAAAAAGTTACTGTCTCCCCCATTATAACGACGTTACCATTACTCACAATAAAATGCACTGTTACTCGGCTTTACTTGAGTTCGCTGTAGTGGCTTTCACCCAAGCAAGCTCCTTCTCAGCGGAGCTCTAAAGTTTTTTTTCTTTGGTGAGGGCAGGTGAGGGGGAAGCATAAGTGATGATGATTGGCTTAGGGAGAGTAAAATTTAATCATAAACCAATCAGAGGCAGAGTAGGGCGGGTATTCACAAGCTCACAAGCACACAAGCAGGGTTGCCAGGTTCGCTTATTAACAGCGACTTTGGGCTTGTTTTCTTGTGAAGTCGCTTACAAATATTGGTATTCGCGGGTTGCGTTTTTTTGGGCTTGTTTCTAAAGTGGAG